TCTCTGGACAAACCTCAAACCTGAGAAAATTTCACCAAATGAAACATGTTAGACCTATTTTCTTAACTTCTGCACAGATCCAGGATATGTGGCCACCTCAGCCCTGCCCCTTCCTGCAGGGAAGGACACAAAAAACATGGCCCAGGATCAATAATCCATGTGTTTCCCTTCCTATCACCAGTCCCAGTAGCACTTTGCATTTTGATTTCCAATGACCCAAAGGCTGGATGTGTCCAAGACTGGCTGGAGGGTGAGAGCTTACCACTGTCCTAAAATTTCTCCTGAAAGCCAAAGGCAGGGACACATCTTGGAGCAGTAACAGACCTACAGCATCCCATCTCCAAGGAATGTCTGCATGCAGGGCGCTCACCCAGGGCTTGCCTCCTGTCAGCAGGACAGTCAGGGATCACTTCCAGATGGCTGATGGATGAGTAGGACACCCCAGTGCCAGAAGGCACAATATTGATGCAGCCAGACCCCGACACAGAGCATCCTGGCTGCCTGTGTTCTTGCCAAAGCAGACTCTGGGTGCTCCAGGGCCACTGTGCATCCCAGGGAGCCCAGTGGGTGCCACTGGGGAGAGCCAGGCTCTGGCTGCCAGGTGCTGTCCCGAGGCTGCAGATGATCCAATTCCATGCTGCCAAAGGATCCCTGGGTCTGCCAGGTCCGTGGGTGGGCTGATGCCCCACAGCACCACTGACAGTGGCACATTCCCTTCAGGAGGACTCGTCACCACTCACCAGGACAGGGACGTGTGTGCCAGGGCAGGGTTGAAGGGTGCCCAAAGGGAATCAGTGGGGATCCTCTCCTGGCTGCCTGTGCCCTGCAGGTCCCACGTCCCATTCTGTGACAGCAATCCCCCTACCATGCACTGCTATACCTCTGCACCCACCACGCCAGCCCATTTCATCATCTCCAGCCACAGGTTGATCTCTCTGCAGGGCTGGACCCAAACTCATGCATTTTTCCCAGGAAATCTTGTGCAGATCCCTTGCAGGGCACCTGGCTGTCCAGGCAGGGGCATCCCCCTTTCCTGGGGTGGCAGACCTGGCCAAGCACCACAGCATCTCATTACAGTGGAAAGGGATGGAGCGGTGTTTCCCCACAGCCTGGTTATGGTTTCTGGCTCAGGAGACACTGATTGAGGGAAGCAGCTTCTCACTGGTCCCCAGGGACATCTCCCCAAGAAATGGGAAGCCACAATGAAGGTCAAAAAGGTGTGGGCAGCTAAGCCTAAGCATCCTCACCTTGCCTTGAAGCCACGGCATTGCTTGGCCACATCCTCATCAGTGGAGAGGAGGAGAGGGGAGAAAGTGAAGGCACTGGAAAGACTGGCATGATACCTTTCCCCAGATACCTCAAAACACAGAACCCCAAATGCTGGGCTTTCCTCTCTGCAAGATCACTGAGATTCCAGAAGCAGTTTTACCTCTTTCCTCTTCATCTTGCCATTGGTCACACTCTCCTGTCTCCAGGAATCTCCACTGTGAGCACTGCACCAGGCACAGGAGGGAGCTGCCAGTGCACAGTAGCTCTTCCATCCCCAGAACAAGCACCTTTGGGACACGCCAGACACAGCGCAGTTTTTGATTCCCCTCAGCATCCCAGTCCTGACCTTCCCTGCCTACAGTTCAGTGCTCCTGGAGAAGAGGCAGTGGGATGGCAGGTGGGCTCAGGCACCCTGCTCCCAGGACACACTGCACACAAGGGCCACATTCGTCCCTAAGCCACGAGGAGCAGCTTCTGACAATGGAGCAGCAGTCAAAGGGCAGATGTAATGCGTATTTGACAGAGCAAACCAAAACACACGGAGGGCAGGAGGGTATGGGGCCAGCTGCACCAAAAGTTCCACTCTTAGGAAGGGGTTTACAGGGGAGCCGACGAGGGTGGGATTCGAACCCACGCGTGCAGAGCACAATGGATTAGCAGTCCATCGCCTTAACCACTCGGCCACCTCGTCCGTTTAACCAGTCTTCTGTTTTACCAAAATTTGTTTTAGCAGATTCTTGTTGTTCTTCCCCCCCTTCCCATAAACAGTAATATTGGAGCTTGCAGCAGCGGCTGGCCTCGAAGGGGAAAAACGATTTCCCCTTTGGGACGTCCCTGCTAGCTCTGGCCAGCACCACCAGCAGCACTGGGGCACGCTGCCAATTCCTGCTCTGGTCAGGAGGGCGCCTAAGGCTTTCGCCTTGAGGGACGAGGATCCGCAACGAGAGGGCTGCTACCCAACAGGAGGAAAGGAGACGGAACTCCAACTGCAGTATAATCCAGATTTATTACATCCAGAGAAACTGACAGGTGAAGACCCCGGTCTGGGGTCTGACACTAAAAGAGGGGAGGATACAGGGGTGGGGTCTGGTCTTCAACCAATCCGCGGGAGGGTGGGAGTGAGGAGAGGGTGATGGACACAGTGGAACAATCCATAGGGAAAAAGCCTAGGGAGGGGCCCTGGCCCCCGAACCAATCACTCGATGCCCTTACTGGAAGATTCTAGATGAAAAGGACGGGCCACCGAGTGATGGACAGGGCACCAGGGAGGGACTAAGGAACAGATACATGGGTTGCTAATGGAAACGGGGAGGGGAAAACTGGATTGACGGGGCGAACAAGGAGAGAGAGAACCAGGGCAGAACCATGACAAATAAAGGGGTACACAGAACAAACGAATTATAATTTAACCGAGCTAAAGTATAAGAAACATGCCACAACCGGAGCTGCTTCCTCAGGGTGTCCTTTGGTGAGCAAGGCTGGGCAGGCAGAGCCTTGGCAGCCCCTGTCACAGTGGGGCAGGGAGACAAGCAAACATTTGTGATTCATTCGTCCCACTCCCCGTTTCCTTCTGTGTCCATGGGGTGGCAAAGGGTAACGTGGCATTTATTGTTGCCACAAAAACGCGTGCAGCAGGCATGTCCATTACGCACCCACACCCAACCCATGTCTAGAGGGTTTTCCTACATGATTCCACACCAGTTGTGAAAAGTAATAGGGAAGATGGGAGGGGTCCAGACAGCATCTAATGTATCTCTTATTTCCCAAATTTTCTGGTTTCTGGAAATAGTTTAGCCCAATGCTCCAACGTGAGGTGAGAAGGGAGAGGAAGCAGAAGAAAACACTTTATTCCCCAGAGCAGAACCACGGGGGACAGTGAACTGAGGACTGAGGGTGCTCTGAGCCGGACAAGGACTCCCAGCAGTGCCCCCAGTTTGGGACAGGGAAGAAAAGTAATCCCTTAGCCTAAGGCACACTGGGTGTTGAACCCAGGATGTCCTGTTTACTAGACAGGTGCTTTGACCAGCTGAGCCATCACAGCCTCTGGCTTTCCTGGCACTGGATGTTCCTTAAAACACCTGACCCTCTGCCCACCTCTCTGCCTACATGTTGTCCCAGGTTTGGGGTTCCCCAGCTGCAAACCCCATATCTTTTTGCTGCTGGGAACACTCCCAGTGCTGACGCAAGGCCCTGGCACAGGGAGCCCAACACATCCCATATGCACCACCAGCTGGGTTTGGCAGTCCCCAAACCCTACAGGGGCATGCTGCCCCATCCCCTCACCCTGGTAGAGCTGTTCTAGCTGCCACCCTACACTACCCTGAGGTGACAGCCTGTCTCATCTCCCTTTCTGGCTGCTCCCCACCAGCACCAATCGTCACAGAAAGACAATGGTCATCCCAAGAGACACCGTCAGCCCCGTGGGGAAGGGACTCTGCGTCACTCCACACTCTACAGCACCTGCCTAAGGAGGGACTTCTCGCCAGCCAATTCCTTGCTGCCTGCCTTGGGGCGCCAGGAGCCAATCCCAGCTCAGACGCGCCCACAGGCAACCGCAGGCATTTCTTGGGGGAGGATCTGGTGAGTCTCTGGGGGCCCCGTTTGCATCAGGACGGGGTGTGGAGAGGCAAAAGAACATGGAGATGCTGGGGGTTGATCCCAGGGCCTCTTGCATGCAAAGCAAGCGCTCTCCTGCTGAGCTACATCCCCCTGGCAGAGCGTGTGCCCTGGCGGTGTCCTGTCTCCGAGAAAATGCCTGTGTCTGCTGCCTTCCCCTGGCGGCCAAGGCGGGGAAAGCTGGGGAAAGGGTCTTTGCAGGCGCTGCGGGTCCCTGAGGTGTGATTGGGCTGGGGAGGGGGTTGGAACACGGGGAATAAGTGTGGGGCAGAGCAGGGAGGTACTTTTGCAGGGCCGGAGGGTGCCCGTTCCGTAAGGGGCAAGCGTAGGTGTGTCAGGAGTGTGTGGGTCGTGTGCAGTGTCGGGCGGGGGTGCGGTGGCGAGTGCGAATGTGAGGGCAGCGTGTTTGCAGCGTGTTGAGGTGCGGGCATTGTGAGGAGTGGGTGTGTGTAAAAAGAAGGGCTCGTCCGGGATTTGAACCCGGGACCTCTCGCACCCTAAGCGAGAATCATACCCCTAGACCAACGAGCCAGATCTCGCGTGACTTCCCTGTGTCCCAGGACACTGCGGACATCCCGGCAAAATGGAGCACGGTGCAGCCCGCGGCCAGCGTGCCCCCCGCATCACCAGCCGACGGTGCTGTGATGGCCGAGGGGTGAAGGCGTTGGACTCGAAATCCAATAGGGATTCCCTGCGCAGGTTCGAATCCTGCTCACAGCGATGGATTTTAGCCGGTATCCATAGCGGAGGTTCTACTACAGTTGTAGTAACTTGTCTGTACCATGTGGTAACCTCAGCATCTTGCTGATTGCAGCAGGTTTTTTTCCTTAATCTATTAATTGGTGCTGGTGAGTGCTGCCATCTGGCCCTACAGAGCCCTTGTGCCCAGAGCTGTTCCAAGCACGGCAGGGCTAGTATGATGGTGTTTATCCAAGCCCCTTTCTGTCCCCTGGCCACAGATCGATTCAGTTAATGAGAAACTCTGCCTTGGGAAAGAGGCAACGTGCTGGCTGCTGGGAGACTTTTGCTCTTCAGTGAGACGGGAAAGGGCAGGAAACCCCCAGGGTGTGAAGAGCCGAGCCAGGGGCTGAGGGCTGCAAGCAGACCGTGGGACCATGGCCAAGCTCGTGGAATGCGTCCCCAACTTCTCAGAGGGGAATAACAAAGAGGTGAGGGAGTACGTGGAAGGGCCGAGGGGTGGGTGACACCAGGCTGCTGACAGCCAGGTTTGCCCCTGCAGAGTGGTACGCACTGCTAGACTCTGCCATGCCTCCTTTGCAGTTTTGTGCACCTTTCACTACTTGGCTAGTGCCAAAAATGCCTAAATGTAGCTTTGGATCCCTTACGGCACCTCGGTGGGAAGCAGGGGCTGAGACCTCTTCCACCATTGCCAGCAAGTTGCTGCAGCACCAGGTTTGGAATATTTCCCTGCAGAGAAATATTGCTTGCAGTTGTGCCAAAACATGCTGTCAAGGTTAATGGAGTCTGTCCTGGGCATCAGCCTTTAAATGAACTTTGGCTCTGCCAGTGGCAGGAGAATTTAGCAAACCGGGCATGGATGTAAAAACACAGCCTCTTCCAGGGAAGAGGCTTAGCAGAGCCAAATGTGTTGGGAAGCTGGCAGGCAGATGTATCCTCAGGAACATCAATTTATGGTGGTGCCCTGTGACATGCAGCAGCAGCCAGGTGTCTCTCCCCCACCACAGCAAGTCTGGGGAGACAGGGGTGCCCCAAACCTCCTGAGTGGAGTGGGATGCTTGTGCAGGGCTGCATCCCCACTGATCATGGGGTCATTCTCAACCCCATCACAGTGGGAAAGGGGATAGCTGAGATGCCCTCTCTTGAAAAGCCATGGCTGTTTTATAGTCCCAGCCGTCTCAGCCCCCTTGCTCCCATCTGCTGTCTGGCAGGTGATCGATGCAGTGGCACAGGCCATCTCCCGGACACTGGGATGTGTGCTGCTGGATGTGGATGCCGGCGCCTCCACCAACCGCACCGTCTACACCTTTGTTGGGTCCCCTGAGGCCGTGGTGGAAGGGGCATTGAGCGCAGCCCGTGTGGCTGGGCAGCTCATTGACATGAGCCAACACTCGGGTGAGCTTGGGAGAGGCCCAGGGGCTGGGCTGGCACAGAGGGGACTCCCGTAATGCTGGGATCAAGCATGGCACTGGAACAGGGACTGTGGTCACAGGCTCAGGCCTGAAGGGTTTGCAATGCCCTCAGGCACATGGTGGGATTGTTATGGCTGCCCTGTGCAGGGCCAGGGGCTGGACTAAATGATCCTGGTGGGTCTCTTCCAACTTGGGTTAGTCTGTGATTCTATGATTTTCTCACAGCAATGGTGTCCAGTCTGTAAGAGTGTGCAAAAGTGTGTTCTCCCTCCTTGTCTGCTTGTTCTTCCCATCTCCCATTCCAATACCTGCCCCGCCACCAGGTGAACACCCTCGGATGGGGGCCTTGGATGTCTGCCCCTTTGTGCCAGTGAGGAATGTCAGCATGGAGGAGTGTGTCACTTGTGCCCACATCTTCGGGCAGCGCTTGGCAGCAGAGCTGGGTGTACCTGGTGAGTGGGGTCAGGAACCTCTCCACATTCCATCCCATCCTGCATGATTCCAACTGTTGGACAAAGTGCCAGCCCCTGCGTGGAGGTGCTTACCCCTAGCTGTGTCTTGCAGTTTACCTGTATGGAGCGGCAGCACGGCATGAGAGCAGGAAAGCCCTGCCCTCCATCCGTGCTGGGGAGTACGAGGCGCTCCCTGAGAAGGTGAGCCTGGTGGTGGCACGGGTTGGGCAGACCTGACCTGTACTTCGCTGGTTTCAGGGAGCATACTGGGGGCTGGCATAGTCCCTTTGCACCAAGAGGAGCTGGTGACACAGGTGGTCATGGCAGATTCCAGCTGGGGAGGGAGATGCCCTCCTTGGGAGGATGGCATGTGCTACTGGCGATGCCAGCCCACACACTCTCTTCCCTCCTCCCCAGCTTGCAAAACCAGAGTGGGCTCCTGATTTTGGGCCCCCAACCTTTGTCCCCCGGTGGGGAGCCACAGTGACGGGTGCCCGGACCTTCCTTATTGCGTACAACATCAACCTGCTGTGCACCAAGGAGCAGGCTCACCGCATTGCCCTCAACATCCGTGAGCAAGGCCGCGGCCCCAGCCAGGTATCTCAAGAGCATGGGCACACCAGGAGCATGCCTGCCTATCCCCACACCTCCTGGCCTGTGCCCTGAATGTGGCAGTTGTTGGCAGCCCGGGCGCTTGAAGAAGGTGCAGGGTATCGGCTGGTATTTGGAGGAGGAGAACATGGCCCAGGTTTCGACGAACCTGCTGGACTTTGAGACCACACCGCTCCACACCATCTACGAGGAGATTTGCCGAGATGCACAGGTGGGTGGCCTGGGGTGCTTGTTCCCAAGGGGGCTTCCCAGAGAATGTCTCCCGCTAAGTTTTCTTCCTCACTGTCAGGTCAGGCTCTGGTTTCTCTCATGCTTAGCTCAGCCAAAGTGCTGAATAGCACAAAACTCCCAGAAACTCAGCAACTCTGCTGCAAACCCCCAGCTCCTCTGTTGAAAACTTTTCTGTGAGCTTCCCATGTCTTGGGAAGGGATGAGGATGACCAGGCTGAGGCAGTAGTGGCAGCAGGGCTCTGGGGAAAATCACATTTCTGATGTCCTTTGCAGGAATTGAATCTCCCTGTGGTGGGGTCTCAGCTGGTAGGGCTCGTTCCCAAGAAGGCCATGCTGGATGCAGCTGACTTTTACATCAAGAAGGAAAAACTCTTCATCCTGGAGGAGGAACAGAAGATCAGGCTGGTAATGTGGCTTCTCCTGATACCAGCAGAAGGGTGGGATCATGGGAGAGACACATCCTACCAGCCTCCCAAAGTGGCACTGAGCAGAAATTTGGGACTGCTCAGGCCTCAGGCATGACATTTGTCTCCAGTGTGGATTTTGCGGGTGCACAGCAAGTGGGACAAGTTGCTTTATTGTGCTGAGGATGCCAAAATGCATAGGGAGCAGGAACAACGTGTAAGGACTAAGTGTGGGTAGCAGCTGCTTGTCTTGCCTGCATGGAGGCCAGGAGGGGAAGGAAATGTACCTAGAGCTCAAGGACAGTGTGTGGCATTATGGGAGGCTGTCCCAGGATGGGGAGTAAGCTGGAAAAGAGGAGACAGGCTCTGCTGTTCCACTGCAGGAGGGAGGGACTTTTCCAGCCTATGGGGAATGTGCTAGATAAGAGCAAGCTAATGATTTATCAGTACAGCTCCCGGTCATTCAGAGATGACCGCACACCACCCCCAAGTCTGTGATGGGATGGGCCAGTGGTGCCAGCTGTCCTCTCCCTGGGTGGTGACCCAGTCCCAGTGCTGACTCACCCATGGCTAATTAGCAGTGGGGACTGAGGATGCAGTAGGACCTGCGTGACAGGGCTGACGCAGTGGTGCTGCTCCTTGCAGGTGGTCAGTCGTCTGGGCCTGGACTCCCTGTCTCCATTTCACCCCCGGGAGCGCATCATTGAGTAAGGACCCACATCCTACTTCTTGTCATGGTGCCCATTCCTCCCTGGATGGGGGATCCTGATGCCTGCATCCTGCACTCAGCTTGTTTTGGGAGTGATGGCTGCTCCCAGCTCCTCTTCACAGCCTGGGGACATCTCTGCTAGGTGGTTGTGCAAAAGCAGGGTGGTCCCTGCTCCCAGATGCTGATGGTTGTGAACGTGGAGTGGGGGAACTCCAGGTTGCTTCAGCAGGCAGTGGGAGCAGGTTTCATGGCCAGATTTGAATGTTAAATTCCTTACTCTATCCCCATGCAAAATTTCACTGCCTCTGGTTCACATGCTGCAGCACCTGGTGTGACATAAGTCTGTGAGGGGAATGGAAGGGAAATCCATCCATGAGGTGAAGTCCTTGTCACCCTTCCTGGGCAATGGCTGCAGAGGCGTTTCTGTCCCACCAAATGCTGCTTGCATCAGCCCAATCTGGCTAATGCAGAGCAACCCCCACACCACCTGTGTTGCCCAGATGTTCCCATCGGTTTCCCAGTCCTTACCCTGAACCTCAGGCTGTTTTTTTTCTAGCTAGTCCCCTACTCATTCAAGGGGTTGTTGCTGGAGAGGGCAGTGCTGGGTGAGAAGGGTCTGGGTGGTGGTGGTGGTGTCCCTGCACCTGGAGGGCTCTAAAACACCTGTGCTGCAGGTACTTGGTGGAGGCAGGAGAGGTGGACGGGGGGCTGGTGGCCAAGCCACTGGGTGCCTTTGTGCGAGCAGTCGGAGCGAGGTCAGCAGCACCGGGAGGAGGCTCCGTGTCTGCAGCTGTGGGAGCCCTGGTATGTGCCCCACACCAAGGGGGCCTGAGGGTCCTTGGTGTGCCAAGGGGATCTGGCATGGTGGTAGCAGTGGGCACTGTGTCCTACTGGGGGATTTGTCCTGGCAGGGAGCAGCGCTGGGCAGCATGGTGGGGCTGATGAGCTACGGGAAGCGGCAGTTTGAGGACCTGGACCCCATCATGAGGAAGCTGATCCCCCCTTTCCACCAGGCCATGGAGGAACTAGTGGCAATGGTGGATGCAGACTCCCGTGCCTTCAGCAGCTACATGGTGAGGTTCCACCAGAGGTATCCTGCAGGAAAAGAGGAAGGCTTTCCAGCTGGGAGGAGTGCTGGGATTGCTGTGTTCTGGATTCCTTAGGAGCAGGGCTCTGACCTTAGAATCACAGAATCATTAAGGTTGGAAAAGACCTCCAAGATTATCAAGTCCAACCTTCTACTGAGTACACCCATGCCCACTAAACCATATGGCAAAGTGCCACTTCTGCTTATTTTTTGAACACTTTCATACTAAAGCCAGGGCCTGTGGAAGGGACATGGTCACATAAGGGAAGTTTGCAAGAGCATGGGAGCTATGGGATCTGCCCTGACCCCTGATGCAAGGCACAGTCTGGGCAACGGCAGCAAACCTGCTTTTCTTTGCTTGTAGGAAGCCATGAAGCTGCCCAAGAACACCCCTGAGGAGCAGGAGAGGTGAGCTGGGCTGGTGAGGACTGGCTGACTGTGGGGGCACAGCCACCCAAGCGCTCAACCCAGGGCTGTCCCCCCTCCCAGGCGCACAGCTGCCATGCAGCAGGGGCTGAAGACAGCTGTAGGGGTGCCCTATGGCCTGGCAGAGAAGGTGAACGGGCTCTGGCCTGCTCTGAAGGAGCTGGCACGACACTGCAACCTGGCCTGCAAATCTGACATCCAGGTATGGCCCCAGCTCACACACACTTGCCCTGCAAGGTGTTCCCTCATGTCCTGATCTCCAGGATACATCTCTCCAGCCATGCTTCCCAAACTGGCCAGTGGTTTCCACCCAGTAATTCTTTGGCAGCCATTTCCTAAGAATACCAACAGACTGGAAAGCGCTGCACGGTGCTGGGTGGTCCAGGGTGGGAGTCCTGCAGCATAAGGGTCTGACCTGCTTCAGCACCATATGGTGGAGCTGGTTCAACAGGAGAGCTTCTCGCAAGCCCGACTTTTCCCAGGTGGGAGCCAAAATGCTGGAAGCGGCAGTGTTCGGAGCTTACTTCAATGTCATGATCAACCTCAAGGACGTCCCTGACGACAAGTTCAGGCTTGTGGTGAGCTGGGCTGCGCGGGCGTCCCCTGGTGGTGCGGCTGAGGGGCAGCGGACATGGCGGCGGCGGCCCGGAGCCCCTCGGGCCCTATTGCCGCTGGTGGGATGCGTACGGTGCACGGTGGATGGCTCTTCTGGCCTGTCGAGTGCCAAATGACTCATCTTGTTCCCACACAGATGTCACAGAAGGTGTCTGGGCTGCTGGAAGAGGCAAAGCAAGGCTCGGCAGTCGTGCTGGCGCTGCTGGACAAGCGGGTGGCCTGAGAAGGGCTTGGGAGTGCTCTGGGTGTTCTGGAGTGGCAAATACAGCTGGGAAATACTCTTGTCCTTGCCTAGTCTCGGTTGGTATTCGCCTCTGGAGAACTGTGTGAAAAACATGTTCACTCTCCTGTGAAAATTTAAGAAGTTTAATAAAGGACAATAGAAGACAAGGACCATAGAGCAAAGGTTATTATGGCCATCTTGGCATTGGGCCAAGACCACACTGTTACCTTTGGGGATACCCCTTAAATACCTTTTCCCTTACATCATCCTATTGCATATTCATAGACCCTTATGCATATCCATAAGCTAGTTTACATTTTCCAGGAGCTGTTTTATATGGCCCCTCCTTGGGTTCACCTTTTAGAGCATGTGTGTTTCTTGGCTGTGGTTTTGGTTCCTTCTCCTTATCACTTCCAGTTTGGGCCTTGGTCCATGCTTTCTTCAGACGGTGCGTGCTGATAGTTGGCATATCTGTAGCAGGTGTCCTCATCCTGTGTTCATTGAGTGTATCCCACCCAAGCAGGCATTTTAACACAAGCATAGCTATTTCACTACTATGTCTAAGCTCAATTAACAGTAGAAATACAAATTATATCTTTGTAACAAAGTTACTTTAACACCACACATATAGAATCCATTTTAATATTTACAAAAATCCAATATTATAATATGTATCTATAACAACTGGTCTGCTCAGGCACATCCAGCATCATACCCCCTGGCCTTTCCCTGGACAAGGGGGATTTTTGCTGTCTGGGACTCAGACCCCAGGCTCCATCCTCCAATCCCTGGGGCAGAAGTAGAAGATTGGGTAGGCAGTGCCTGGGACCACAGTGATCCTAACAGAAGGGATGGCAGGATCCCTGTAGCACTGCCTGCAAGGAGATCCCTGTGCATGAACACCTGGCCCTGCACAGTCCCTGTGTCCAGAAACCCCCATGAAACACCCTCCTATCCGAGATCTGGGGCAAGACCTGGCACAGTCCCTTTCTGCCAGGTGCCTTTCAGGCTGTGTGTGACAATTCCAACCCGTTGAATTGCCTAGGAAGGGAGCACTGCCAAACATGAGGCACTATCAGAAGTATTAGCAGGGAGATGGGGTGGGTTGAGATGGGAGAAATCCTACACCTTCCTCATAGATCCTCCAAGAGGAAAACCTGAAAATCAGGGCATCCAGCCCTGTCTCCTGTCCATGCTGACCGGGTGTGTCAGCAGATACTGTGTCCTCCACCTGCACACCGTGGCAGCACCCTGAGCAGTGTCAGGCTGCCACACCAGCTGTCTCACAGCCCCGTCTGTGCGAAGGTCACCCCTGTTCCTAGACACTGTGCCTGAGCGGGGAGCAATGAGTCAGGGTTCATGGTGGGGTCAGCTGACTCACTCCATCCCTCCTTTGACGCCGGGAGCTGGGATCACCGCCCTCCATAGCCTGTGTTTATTATCCCTGTGGGACCTTTGTGCCGGCTGGGAGTGGCGTGTTGACGTTTCTTTCGTGCCCATGGTGACGGCGCGGTGTCACCTCTCAGGTGTCACCCTTGCCCGCCGCACCCGTGCTCAAAGGGGCAGGGCCCCGCTATTTAAAGGATGCCCTAGAGCCAGGAGAGCCATGCCAAGGACGGAGATCCCGAGTGTTGCCAGCGTTGCTTCTTCTGGGAGCTCTTCCACAGGTTTGGTGAGTGCAGGGCAGCACGGGGGAAGTGGGAGCATGGGCACCCGTGGGTCAGGGTGCACTGTCCCTATGGTGGGCACTGTACCCAGGCGTGTGTGCCCAGTCTCTTGTGGCTCACGAGGACATGAGCTTGGCACCCAGGCTGGGCCAGTGTGGATTTATTTCTATTAAAAATGGAAACCACATGCCTGGGCTTTGGGGGTGCATGGAGCGGGGGACAGTCGCTCTGGGGGTTGGTGCTGTCACCAAAGGGACAGGATGGTGGTTGGAGTCTGTGGGGGTATGGCACTCTGGGGAAAGCAAGCATGGTCCCTGTGCTGAGGGCAGATGTGGGCCAGAGGAGACAGGTCCGAGCTGCTGGCTGGGCAGTATCATGGCAGGAGGTGACTTATGGTACCTGTCTTTCCCTTTCAGCTTGGACACCACTGAGGATGTGTGACCCCAACCAAGGTGAGGGGCTGTGAGGCCAGGCAGGGCTGCAGGTACCACACAGCCATCAGGACTTAGAGGGGAGCTCTATGCCGTGGCCTCAGACACCTGGGGGATTTACCTGCATGCCAAAGGGGTGTGGGGTGTCCTTTGTGAGGAATTGGTAGACCAGGGTGGGCCCTTTGGGTGGAGGGGTGCACCAGCTTCCTGCACTGTCTGTCTGGGGGGAGCCTGTCTCTGCCCACTAACAGGCTCCTCTTCTTCCTAGGCCTGCCACAACCGCACCTTGCAGTGTGCCCTCCCGCCCCTCCAGGATACCCCGCTCCTGGTACAGGTTCCTACCCTGGTGGCATTGCAGTGTGCCCTGCTGTCCCTCCAGGACATCCCGGTCCTGGCATGGGTTCCTGCCCTGGCAGTGTGGCAGTCTGCCCCCCATGCCCTGCTCCGCATGGCCAGCACCCCCACGGGCACCCCCCATTGGGGCATCATCCTCACGGGCACCAGGAGCACCATAAGAAGCACCATAAGAAGCACCATAAGAAGAAGCACTGCAAGAACCATGAAGGCAAGGTAAGAGTGGGACAGCAGAGAACCCTTCCCTAATTCTGCTGTGGACCTCCTCCAGCATACCACAGCATCTGGCCTAAGCAGCTGGGACTCTCCTCTCCTACCCTATGGTGGCTGGAGCAAACTGCCCAAACATCAGTGGCTTTTTTTAGATGTAGAATCTCATTAGAATAATAAATAGGCAAGAATGAGTCATTTTAAGTGAGTAATTTAAAAAGCAATCCATGAAATTCCTTGAAGCCATTTGAAGGGATAGCATGGCTCGGGGCACACCGTGCAGTGTATTAAATCACAGGACTTTGTCCTGCTCATTTGAGTGCAAGTCGTGCCTCCATAATGGACATTCACTCAGGGTCTTGCAGCAGAGGAACTGTTTGGCTCCCCTTTAAAACAAAAAAAAACTCTCAAAATAAAACCAGAAAAGGAGAAGCAATTCTCTGTGCTTAGAGTAAACTCTGCAGAAAATACCATTCCAGGGATGGGCACCATCCTGAGCAGGTCTAAATGAGGAACTGCTAAACAAGGCCCCATTTACAACATTGGAGGTGGGAGCATTTCTCAAACAAATCCTACCAGCAGCTCCTCTCACTGGGAAACAGCTCTGGTAGTGATCTGCTGTGACGTTGGTCTTTGCTGGCAGAAAGCAAGACCTTTCTGGAATTTCCTTTATTGACTTTAAGAGTCTTGTAAAAAAATAATAAAAAACCTCCAGCCTTCCCACAATATGGGGCAGCCACCACAGGGTCCCCAACCCATCTCAGTAATGCTGTGACAGAGGCTTGTTTCCCTGCTGTCCTAAAGTTGTTCTCTCTTTCCCAGCCCTCTGATGGCTCACGCAGGTCAAGCAGCAGCTCAAGCAGCAGCTCTGACTCTGACTAAAGGTCTGGCATGTCCCACCTGCTCCGTGGTGATCAGCAAAACATGAGACCAAACTCCTTGTCGGAATCCCCTGCATGTCACTCCTCTCCCTCCCCCTTCCCCCTGGAGCAGTGTTTTGCCTGCTGAGTGATTTTTCTTGTGTGCAAGAGCTTGTAAATAATTTGACCTGGAATCTCCAACTTAATGGACAACATTTCCACCCTCTATCTTCTGGGAGAGCCTGCTGAAAGTCATCACATGTTGTTTTCCAATCTGCTGGTGTCCGTGTGTTTTTTCCTGGGTAATGATGGTGGCTGCTAACATTGATCCCGTAAAACTCCTTACATTTCGTGTGAGCTTTCCCAGGTGTAGCAGAGGGAGTGGCTGGGGGATGCTGTAATTATGTGGGCTGCCATCCTCCATGCCAGGGTAATAATTTATAGGAAAAAGCTCACCATGGCAGAAGGATTCTCCCACAAACAGATGAGGAGCATGAACAGCTGGAAGTGTTCAAGACCAGTGCTTGGAGCAATCTGTGTCCCTGCCCATGGCAGGAGGAGTGGAATGAGATGATCTTTCAGTTCCCTCCCAACCCAAACCATTCTGTGATTCCATGATTATCTGGATTTGCCAGCTTGAAACCAGGAGAATCAGCTGCTCACTAAAAAAAAATTTTTAAAATCCCCACTGTTGCAGCCCAAATTGCTGCTAGTAAAGTCCAGGGTAAGGAAGCAAAAAGGGCCTTTGCATAATATCCACAGATGTTTAATTCAGCAGCGTGGTAACATGTTCAGGTCCCAGGCACGCACATGTGGGGGGGTCCAGGTTTCTCTCTCCCCTGGGGCCCGGGGGCACCCTGGTCTCGGGCAGTACCAAGATGAGGACCAATCAGGGAATACGGAGGGGAGTGGCTCAAGGACACAGAAATAGACACAGGAACAGAGGAAGGAGCCAATGGGTCTTATCGGCGTTTTGAGGGAAGCTTCTTGTGTCTCCCTAACCTAGAGGATCCCCCCCAGCGTCTCCACACCCCACAACTATGGAAAAAAAAAAGAGGCTTTTTCAGGATAGGTTGGAAAAGGTTTGTTTATTTTTGCAGACAGCACAATTCGAGTTCAAATCTGGGCATTGCTGAGCAGATGCTGGTGGGAGGAAGGTACCATGGATGCTTTGAGCATACTGGGATGACTGGGAGGCAGCTCTGGTGGCTGTCCAGTATTTTGTTGATGCTGGGAGTCATGCTGCCCCTCTCAACTGAGATTCTGAGTGCAGTAATAGATGAGCAGGTTCTGATGAAGGGCAGAATAACAGAAGGAATCAAGGCAGGTATGGCCCACAGGAAAATAACGATCTTAGAGATGATTTGCAAAATTTAAGACAGATATATCCCCCAAAGGAGCATCTGTGGAAGGCAGCAAAACCTCTCACTCCATCCCACTGTTCACAGAAAGGAGGGGCAAGAGGCACTGAGAGATATTGAGAGTTTGAGTTATTCATTGGTCCTGCTAGACTGGAAAGGTTTTTTGCATCTCTGATAAGTCCTCCTAGGATTACAGTACGTACACAAGTCATGGCTTGGTGTGTGCAAGGCTTGGTGTGTGCAAAGCTTTACAGAAGTACTTCATATGGCTCTGTATCCTGCTTTGATCTGGGTTTTAATTAGCACCATAAATGTAAGATACATGACTTCATCATGAAAATCAATAAAGAGCACTGGATTTTGGCTAGAAAGGAGGACCTAGAGGGCAAGTCTTCAGGGCTAGCAACCATACAGGGGGAAGAAAATACAACAGGTAATATCAGGGGTGTGTATATCAGTGAGAGAAGGATTGTGAGTGTGCCCTTCTTTTAACAAATCCACCGAATGAACCTGTCAAAGAAGCTGGGCTGGGAGAGGCTGTCATAGTCCTTCTCCCGGAAGATGGCTGCCCGGTCCCCAAGGCCAAGCTTCAGCAGGACATCCATGTCCACATCGCTCCCCAGAGCCACCACCGTGGGCATGACATCTTGCTTCTTCATGGAGTTGATGGCCTCCTCCAGGTTCTTGCTTCCCGTGATGCCGTCGGTGATGAAGACGAAGGAGAGCTCAGCATTGCGCCGGGCAAGTCGCTGCCCATTGCCTGGGCTGAGCACAATGTTGTTGATGGCGTGGATGATGGCTGACCCAATGTTGGAGGATGAGTCCAGGTACTTGATCTGTGCCAGGGCGTCAGAGATCTCGGTGAGGTTGTGGGTCAGCGGGAAGACCACGTTCTGGTCCCGCTCACTGCCGTATTGCAGCAGCGCGATCCGGGCATTCATGTGGTCGCTGTTGCTCCGGGCCAGTGTCAGCTGCCGGGCCACATCCTCCACGAAGCGGTGGGCACTCTGGAAGTTCTGCTCCCCAATCCTTTCCGAGCCGTCCAGCAAGAAAACGACGTCAACGGGGCGCTGGGTGCACTGGGCTACAGCAAGCTCTGCAGGGGGAAGAAGATGACAGGAGCTGGGAGGATGAGAAGACTAAGGGATAATTTAGGTTGGAGTTGCCTCTGTGCATCCATGTCCAAAGAAGGACCAGCCCAACCCCACTACCAAAGCCTGTCTTTACAGCTTGAAATGTAGGAGGTTTGCTTTTGATGCCCTCAGCTACTTAGCATTTAATGAATGTTAACTGTGGGACCGACCCTTGTGAAGTTAGACAGGTCTGTGCATTTCAGTCCCAGAATTATGCCCACTGCCCTACATCAATTTCCAGCTCTTATTTGTGAAAGGAATATCCAGAGATTAATGGCAAGCAGCACCTGAAAACCTCTCAGTTACCTCGGGAGAGTGGTTTACTGTCATAAAATCATAGAATCAGAGAATCACAGAATGCTTTGGGTTGGAGGGAACCTTAAGGTTCATCTTGTTCCTACCCCCTGCCGTGGGCAGGGACACCTTCCAGTAGACCAGGTTGCTCCAAGCCCAGTCTAACCATATAGAATATATGAATATATGCAGTGAATAAAAACAAAAAGGAGAAGAAAGTAGCTATCTTTTGAGTCAGCTGATAGGAACCATTATTTTCTCCCTTTTCTGTAGTTATGTGCATTGCATTTAGTGTTCCTCTGAGTTCCTCCTGAGCTGACAGCAGGACAATGCCCATAGCAGTCTCCAGCAGTTCTGTGGGTCTGAGACTGAATCTTAAAAGGGTGAAGTCCCGAAGATACTGCCATGTTTTGTTGCATCCCTGGCAAAGAATAGGAACTTCTGGAGCAGCCCCACCTTGAGCATCCATTTCTGGCAACAAGGGGTAACCTTGGCCATAGGAGTGTAACGTTAGATTGAATTTCCACACTATGAGCAAATACAGCCTGACAAAGAGCTTCCCTGGTGCTGAACAGTGCTTGTGCCTGGGTTCGGCACAGAACTGGGGAATCACAGAATCTGAATGATTAGAAAAGCCCTCTGAGATCCTCAAGTCTGACCATTAACTCAGGACTATTATGTTAATCCCTAAACCATATCCCTAAGCACCACATCACGTTTTTTGAACACTTTCTTGGATGATGACTCTACTGTTTACCTGGGCAGCCTTTTTCAGTGCCTGAGCACCCTTTCAGTGAAGAAATTTCCCCTAATATCCAATCTAAATCTCCCCTGGTGCAACCTGAGACCATTTCCTTTTGTCCTCTCACTTGTTACCTCCCCTCTTTTAAAGCAATAAAGGCACATACTCACCTCTGCCCAAACTTCTGCGAGAAATGTTGTGTAAAGGCACGTTGATGCTGCAGTTCCTGGTATGCAGGCACTGCTGCTGCAAGGATACCTTGCCTTGGCAGCACCTGCACTCCTGGTCCTCACCTGCTCTGAGCAGCCATGGAGGAGGAAAGGCAGGAAGGAATCCCCCTTGCAACCACACAGCCCAACACCTATGTGAGGGTCTCTGAAAGCAGGTGGGAGCAGCGGCTGTGTGTCATGTTGGGGCAGTGTTAACAGCCTCCCCCAAGGCCTGCCCACATGTTTTTTAAGACGACAAGAAAGCCTGAAGAACTCCTGGCTAAGCAGAGGGCAGCATCACTCAATGGAGCTTCAGCGAGAGCGTAGTGCACATCTGATAGGAGCATTCCCCAGGCTCACTGCTCAGCCCTCACAGCTGGAGAAGGCTGCCTTCCAGTGTTTGATAAGGTGCCTTTACATGAGTTATCCCAAGGGAATCTGAGGCAGCAAAGCCTTGGGTTTGTCCTGTTCAGTGTCAGGCTCTGGTTGCAGCTTGTTCGCGTTTCTGAGAGGCTGAGGACCTGAGCACCCTTTCCTACAGCAAGATTCTCATTCTAACTGGAAGAGAAACTCTCAAAGGCACCACCATTAATTAGGCAAACCAATGCCGTCATGCTTTTAACTGGTGCATTGGTCTTTTTCATGTGGATCATGAATGCCTGTGGCTCACAGCTGAGGATGTCTAACAAAGGCAACACAAATAATCGGAAATATCATTGATTTTTCTGCCATTAGTGTGTGCAGAGCAACCCCACCCATTCACATCACCTTCCTGTTTCTTCTAAAACCTGAGGAACTTGTATTTCCTCTATTCTTACCCAGTGTTGACAGTGGAGATGAAAGTGAGGTGGGGACTGATGTCCCAGACCTTTTTTGGGGTTTCCCCCCTTCCCAGCCCCTCCTGTCTTTGGGAAGGCGTGGACCATCCTTTACACAGCTCCTTATCTGTCTTTACTTTGCCCAAGAGCTTCACTGAAGGAACTGCTACTGTGATGAAATCCATCTGGTTTTATCAGAGGGATTAGCTAGGATTATGCTCAAAAAAACACTCCTTCACCCATTTGCCTCTAACAAGAACAAGCACAAATACTCCTCGTGCAAAGAGAAGTTTTCTCCCTCTCCCCACCTCTAAAGGGCTGAGGTAAAAAACTTTGTTTCTAATGTTTTTCTAGGAATAAATGGTCACTGTGTGATGAAATTAAATGAAATCAACACCCCCTTAGCTGAAATCTTCCCCAATCCTCTCTTTGTTTGTCAAAATGTCCCAGCCCTGAGATCTTATCGAATCAGTGATTTTTGGGAGCTTTTCCTCTGCCATCATGGCTGAAGCAGCTTAACTACTCTGAGTTCAGTT